GTTTCTGTGAAGGGATGGGAATATGCAGTTATCTACTCTGCCATTTTGCTGATGTCTAGACTTCACCTCTTGATGTGAATTGCACCATGCTCAATGAAGGAGGAAAGGAAATGACAGCTTCCATCTTGGAGACTAATTACTACAGATATTTTTAAGGCTTTTGATAAATATCCCCAAATTGCCTTCCAAAAAGTTTGCAGTTCCACAAGCAATGTATAAGACCGCTATTTCTTCATACATTCACCAACAGACTACTATTCCTTCATACATTCACCAACACAATAGTTTTCTATTTTTGCTATTTTGACAGGGAAAGAAAGTGTCTCATTTTAAAGATTTTATTTATTTATTTATTTTCCCCCCAAAGCCCCAGTAGATAGCTGTACGTCATAGCTGCACATCCTTCTAGTTGCTGCATGAGGGACGCGGCCTCCGCATGGCCGGAGAAGCAGTGCCGCGTGCGCACCCGGGATCCGAACCCGGGCCGCCAGCAGCGGAGCGCGCGCACTCAACCGCTAAGCCACGGGGCCGGCCCGAAAGTGTCTCATTTTAATTTTAACCCACATTATAAATGTTTTAGTGAGATTAAACATTTTTTTTTCACATATTTATTAATCATTTGGAACTCTCCTTTTGAGAATTACCTGCTTGTAGTGGCACATTCACCTTTTATACCAGAGGGTTCTGAAACTTTTTAAAACTTTGCATTTAGTCCCTTTCCAGAAATAAATTGAGACTATTTACCATAAATGATATATATAGACTAGGTTGCTAATCTAGAAATACAAAGTTAAAAACTCAAGCCATGGAAACAAAAAGGAAGAAAGTGTTAAATAAAGCGGTCATGAATAAGCATCAAATCTGAGTTGTCTAACAAAAAGGGCAGCCTTATAAGTTATGCCATTCTAATCATAAAGGAAGACACACACTAGTCCCAAAAGAGACAGGATTTTTCTCTTGGCATTAAATTGTAAAATAAATTTCTCATTTGAGCTCTTACATACAGAATACTGAGTGACAGAATAATAGCATTGTTAATGAAAGTTTTATAGCAAATGCAGAAGCAATTTTTTATTGAAGTATAATTGACATATAATAGTATATTGGTTTCAGGTGTACAACATAATGATTTGATATTTATATGCATTGCAAAATGATCACCACAATAAATCTAATTAACATCCGTCACCATACATCGTTACAAAAAATTTGTTTTTCTTGTAATAAGAACTTTTAAGATCCACTCTCTTAGCAACTTTCAAGTATATAATACAGTATTATTAACTGTAGTTACCATGCTGTATATTACATCCTCATGACTTATTTACTTTATAACTGGAGGTTTGTACCATTTGACTCCCTTCACCCATTTCATCCACCCTCCACCCCCACCTCTGGCAACCAGCAATCTGTCCTCTGTCAATGAGGTTTTTTTTTAAATTTATCATTGTTTTTATCTCCTCTGACTTTTTATCAATTTAGCTTAACTATATATAGTACTTTTAAAATTATGCTGTATCAACTTTTAAATATCCTTAGACTTTTTTAGTGAGAAATAGTTATTAGCTATAAGTTTTTTCTTTGGCTGTAGGGAGGTAGAAGGTATATTTCTCCTCCAATATATAATGCAAATATAAATATATAACTATATATAGTGACAATATATAGTGCAAAGGCTAATTAGAATGGCAGTGATAGAAAATCGGACCCGATATTCATAAAGTATTATTTGCCTTTGGTTCCTGGCTGAGGCATGTGTGTACCAAACTGCTGAATCTTGTCAATGTATAACAATATATATAAATTTAATGCATTCTTAAACATGAAAAGAAGCTCAGTTACTTTCATAATAAAAGAAATGCAAATTAAAAGCACCCTTCTTCCCGTGGCTTAGCGGTTAAGTGTGCGTGCTCCGCTGCTGGCGGCCCGGGTTCGGATCCCAGGCGTGCACCAATGCACCGCTTCTCTGGCCATGCTGAGGCCGCGTCCCACATACAGCAACTAGAAGGATGTGCAGCTATGACATACAACTATCAACTGGGGCTTTGGGGGGAAAAAATAAATACATAAATAAAATTAAAAAAAAAAAACCACC